TGGTTCTTGGCCTTCAATCAGAAACCTTTCAGTTTCTGGTAATAAGATTTCTGGGTTGGTTTTTTATTTTTAAATGTCATTTAAAAAATTATGTCTTTATTTTTATTATTAATATTCACAATCTGAAACCAATCAAATCCACAATCAGAAGGCATTGGTAATTACTGGTGATAGAAATATGAAAGCTGGAAATGAAGAAGAAGGATTTGTAGTTGGAAAATGTGGTCTTGATGATAAATGCAAAGCTGGAAATTGCATGATAGGATTTCAAAAGACCAATGATTTACGCATTGCATAGAACTCCTTTTCAACAGCATAAACACATGTTCTTTGCCAAATGGAAAACACATGAATTAAATAACCTATATTTATGGAAAGAGCAAAGTTTGAGCACGTTTTCAGGAAGAGCCAGGCCTTGGAAAAAGTTGTTGTATAGGGAAAGAGAGAGGGTCCGGGAAAGGGAGGAAGACCTTCAACAAGATGGATTGACACAGTGACTACAAAAAATGGGGTTGAACATGACCAAGGCATTGAAGATGGCAGGGGTAGGGCAAGTTCCGATCCGGTGTTCACCGGGTTGTTGAGTCAAAGCTGACTGGATGGCACCTAATAACAACGACAGGAAAAGAATTGATGGAGAAGCTTAATATTATCAGTCAGAACAAGGTCAGGCGTGACTCCAGAACAGATAATTGGTTACTTATATGCAAATTCAAGTTGAATCTGTAGAAAAGTCTGAAAGAATTAAACTATGACCTTGAACACATTCGACTTGAACTTAAACAACATCTCCAGAATGGAGTTGATGTATTCAACACTAATGACTTAAGATCAGGTAAGTGTGGGATAACATCAGGGACATCATATATAAAGAAAGAAAAAGGTCATTCTAAAGACAGAAAAGAAAGACTGAACGGATGTTGGGAGAGACTCTGCAATTGCTCTTTTTATTTCTTTCTTCTTTCATACTGTGTTTGTTTTTCTTTAATTTTCTTTTTATTATTAGTTTTAATGAACGTTTACAGAGACTTTGGATTTCCATTAATTCATTGTTGCATTTTACTCCCTGCCCACCCCTCCCCTCTTCATACTACGTTTTATTTTGCTTTCTTACTTTGCTATACTTTGCTTACTTTCCTAATGAGAAACCTATACTTGGATCAGGAAGCAGTCATCAGAACAGAGCAAGGAAACACTGCATGGCTCAAAATTGGGAAAGGCGTACACCAGGGCTGTATCCTATCTTCATACCTTTTCAATCTTTATGCAGAGAAGGGTATCCGGGAGCCTGGGCTCTATGACGAGAAATGCGGCATCAGGATTGGAGGAAAAATCATTAACAATCTGCGTTATGCAGATGACACAACCTTGCCTGCTGAAACTGAAGAGGACCTGAAGCACTTGCTGTGGAGGGTCAGGGACTGCAGTCTTTGGTATGGATTGAGGATCAATATCAAGAAAACAAAGATTCTCACCACTGGGCAGATTGGTAGTGTCATAATGGATGGTGAAGAGATTGAGATTGTTCAGTTTTGGTTTGCTTAGATCTACAATCAACACTCTTGACAGCAGCAAGGAAAATAAAAGATGTGTTGCGATGAGAAAGTCTGAGGATAGAGACCTCTCTAAAGTGCTGAAGTGCAAAGATGTCTGTCTGGAGACTAAGGTGTCCCTGATACAGGCCATGGTCTTTGCAATCACTTGCTATGCATCGGAGAGCTGGACAATGACTAGGGAAGATAGAAGGAGAATTGATGCCTTTGAGCTGTGGTGTTGTAGAAGAGTATTGAATATACCATGGACTGCTAGGAAAACAAACAGGTTTGTCCTGGAGAGGGTGAAGCTGGGCTGCTCCTTGGAGGCAAGGTTTCTGAAGCTTTGTCTGACATACTTTGGACACGTTGCAAGGAGGGACAGATCCTTGGAGAGGGACATCATGCTTGGGAGGGTGGAGGGACAGTGCAGGAGAGGAAGACCCTTGATGAGATGGTTTGATTTAGTGACTGGGGTAATGGGGATAGGTGTGTTGGACATGATGAGATTGGCACAGGATAGGGCAGAGTTTAGGGCTGTTGTACATAGAGTGGCTATGAGTCGCAGCAACTTGATGGCACATAGCAACAAAAACAACAACAACAACAGCAACAACAACAACTTTGGATACAATTATAACTTTCATGTGATCAGACCAATCAAAAGTCCAATTAATTTTCAAGGTTTCCTTGGTTAGGTGACAACCATTTCTGTTAATACATACATATTATAGATAATAAAAAATGAAGGCAACATGTAGTGATTGTTTGTAAGAATAACATGGATCTGTGAGCATGTTGTCACTAAATCATAGTATTTTATGCTTTTTTTGAACATGAATTTTCCTTATTAAAGGCTCAGAAGTTTTGGGGTTTTTTTGTTTTGTTTTTTTTTAGAAGTTTTGGGTTTTTAAAAAACACTTTAAAAATGTTATTCTTATTTACTTACAAAGTTTGAATACATTGTTTTTCACAAAAGATCCTTCCCATTTCCTTCACTCTCCCCCCAAGCAACTTACTGTTGATTATAGAACAACTCATGTGAAAAGAAGAAGCAATGAAGTAAAAACTTGAATGAAAGATTCTAAAGAGTGTCTTGAGAAGATACAGTGTTGTATGAAATATACAAATACCTGGAGTTAAAAAACTGACAGGGTGGAACATGCATGGCATTCCTTAACCTGAATGAACTGAAGGAAAAGTCAATCCTTGAGCTTCAATACTGAAGGGTTTTATGGGCAAAATACTGAACAACACAGGAAGTGACAAAAGGAGGTGGAAAGAGCAGAGAGTCACTGCACCAAAAAGAATTGGTTGGCACCAAACCATTTCAGGAAGCAGCATATGATCAAGAACCAGTGGTATTGCAGGAAGAATCCAAGGTATCCTGAAAATATTAATTAAAAAGGAGGCTTCAAGAATTGACAGAACACAACTGAGACGTGTCAACAAAGGAGCATAAGATTGGAAGTGGTCAAGGAATTTGGAAGACAATGCTAGATCAACCAACTGGGAGAGATCTTTATCTGTGACATTCAAAAGAAAGGTGGGAATGAAGGGAGGGGGTGAAGAAAATGGGAAAAATCTCTCAAGGACCTGAAAAGATGGGCTAATGGTGGGTCTAGTTCAATGGTGATTCATTTTCTAAAACACACCAATGGGAACAATTATTATATGAAAAGCACAGTATGAAACAAAATGTATGTGAATTTTGTATGCAAATCGATATTTTAAAAAAGGTGGTTGATGGAATATATGCATTATATAATAATATAGGTAATATCACATGTAAGTAAACTTTTGCTGAAGATAGTTTAAAACCACTTGTAGCAGTGCATTGACAAGGAACTGCCAGACGTTCAAGCCAGGCTCAGAAGAGCATGTGGAGCAAGGAATATCATTGCTGTTGGCAGATGGACCTTGGCTCCAAGCAAAAAGTGTTAGAAACGCTATTCTCTCCGTGCTTGGTGCTCGCTTCCTTCCCTCTTTGCCTCCGCTGTCACCCAGCTCCACGTACAGCTGACATCATGGGCTTCGGAGACCTCAAGACCACCGCCGGCCTCCAGGTCCTCAACGATCACCTGGCAGACAAGAGCTACATCGAGGGGTATGTGCCGTTGCAAGCAGACGTGGCGGTGTTTGAGGCCATCTCCAGCCCCCCACCTTCCGACCTGTGTCACACCCTGCGTTGGTACAATCACATCAGGTCTTACGAGAAGGAAAAGGCCAGCCTTCCAGGAGTGAAGAAAGCATTGGGCAAATATGGCCCTGCTGATGTGGAAGACACCACCGGAAGCGGGGCTGCAGACAGTAAAGATGACGATGATATTGATCTCTTTGGATCTGATGATGATAAGGAAAGTAAGGAAGCAAAGAAGCTAAGAGAAGAGTGCCTTGCCCAGTATGAGTCAAAGAAAGCCAAAAAACCTGCACTAGTTGCCAAGTAATCAATCTAAATAGAAGTGAAGCCGTGGGATGATGAAACTGACATGACAAAACTAGAAGAATGTGTCAGAAGTATTCAGGCAGACGGCTTGGTCTGGGGCTCTTCCAAGCTAGTACCTGTGGGATATGGTATTAAGAAGCTACAGATACAGTGTGTAGTTGAAGATGATAAAGTTGGCACAGATATGCTGGAAGAACAAATAACTACTTTTGAAGACTATGTGCAGTCCATGGACGCGTCTGCTTTCAACAAAATCTAAAATTCTTCTGCTTTCAACAATAAAAACTTTTAAAAAAGTGTTAGAAACATGTTGTCTTTGTTTACTGACTATACAAAGGCTTTCGACTATGTGGATCATAGAAAATTACAGATAAAATTGCTAAGAATGAAAATTCCAGTGCACTAAGTTGTGCTCTTGCAGAATTTATACATAGACCGAAGAGCAGTCATTTGGGTAGAAGATAATACTGTACATCTTAAGAGTAGGGAAAATGTGTGTTAAGGCTGTGTCTTTTTGCCATATTTATTCAATTTGTACTCTGAGCAAGTAATTCAAGAAACTAGACTGTGATGAACTCAGTATCAGATTGGAGCAAGACTCATAAGCAACCTGCTCTATGCAGACAATATAACTTTTACTTCCTGAAATTGAAGAGGACTTGAAGCACTTATTGACTAAGATGTCATTGTTGATAAGTGCTGTCAAGTCAACTATGACTCAAAGTGACCCTACGGATGACAGTCCTGACCCCAACCCTCTCCTGCACCATCCTCACAGTCTCTGTCATGCTGAAGCCCGTGTGGTGGTCACAGCATCAATACACCTCCTCGAGGGTCTACCTCTCTTTAGCCAACCCTCTGCCTTTCTCAGCATGGACTCTTTAAAGACTGCTTTCTCCTGAAAATATCCCCCAAGGAATTGAGATGGATGAAGGGAAAGGATTTCAAACTTCAGTTTCATTATAACCCAACACAAAGAAAACCAAATTGCTCACAAATGGGCCCAAAAGCAACATCATTACAAACAGAACAAAGATAGATGTTGTCAAGGATTTAATTTTACTTGCACATAAAGTGAGTGCGTAGAAGCAACAGTCAAGAAATGAAAGGATGTATTGTATTGGGCTCAGCAGCAGCAGAAGATTTCTTTAAAGTATTAAAAAAACAAAGATGTTACTTTGAGGATTGAGGTAAGCTTGACCTAACCCATGTTATTTTCAGTTGCCCCATATTTATGTGAAAGTTGGATAACGAATAAAGGAGATCAAAGAAGACTTGACACTTTTGAATTATTGCATCAATGAAGAACACTAAACCTACTATGAATTGCCAGAAGAAGGAACAAATGTGTTTTGAGGAAATACTTCCAATGGCCAGATGCTGTTAGGAAGTGACGTTCGTCCTAGAAAGGGTGAAACTAGGCTGCTCCTTGGAGGCGAGGATTCTGAAGCTCTGTCTCACAGATTTTGGGCATGTTGCAAAGAGGGACCAGTCCTTGGAGAGGGACATCATGCTCGGGAGGGTGGAGAGACAGTGCAAGAGAGGAAGACCCTGGATGAGACGGATTGACTCAGTGACTAGGGTCATGGGGGTAGGTGTGCCAGAGACAGTAGGTTTGGCACAGGATAGATAGAGCAGGGTTCAGAGCTGTGGTACAAAGGGTCACTATGTGTCACAAGTGACTCAGTGGCATATAACAACAACAACAATAACAGCAATAATAACTTTATACATGTTCTCAACAGGCACCAGTTATTGAAGAAGGACATCATGCTTGGTAAAATAGAGAGTCGGGGGGAAAAGAGAAAGCTTCTCAATGAGATGAATTGACATAGTAGCTGGAACAAAGGTTTCATACACAGCAATGGTTGGGAGGTTGGTTTTGGGTGGCTAGTGTTTCTCTCTTATATGTAAGGTAGCTATGAATGGGAGTGGGCTCAACAGAACCTAACAACAACAAAAACTTTAAGGGAGCAGGACTGGACACCTTTTCTCCTGCAAATTGGTTATTAGTGCTGTAAAAAGCTTGTATATTGTCATTGATCCTTTGTATATTTCTATCGATTATTGGGCTATTCACAAGACAAATATGGAGAGGGTACAGCTGGAGTGTTCTTTGGAGGCAAGTACGAGGAGGCTTCAGATCACAGAATTCAGATGTGTTGCTAGGAGGGACTATTCCTTGGAGAAGAGCACGATGCTCAGACAGGTGGAGGGTCAGCAAAGGAGAGGAACACTCTTCAACCAGGTGAATTGACATGGTGACTCCCACAACGGGCTCCAGTGTGTCAGGAAGTGTGAGGATGGCACAGGACAGGACAGGGTTCAGATCTGCTGTTCATCAAGTTGCTATGAGTCATACTTTGGGTTATGGTTGTTGTATATTGTATATTGGGTTATTGTTGTTGTATATGGACCAATGACATCAAAGATATCTTTTATGAAGACAACAAAATTTGTTACAAAGACAAAGGAGGAAGACAAAATAAAAATGAATTTCAGAAAAGACTCTGAAAATTGCATCAAAGCAATGAGAAGCCACAACACAGGGAAGAGGTACCAAAGTAAAATAGATGAACAGAAGATTTCAAAGGGCAGTTTGAGAAGACAAAGTATTACAGTAGATTATTCAGAGAGCTGGAACTGGAGAATAAAGAGGGAAGAACTTACTTCTCACTTTTCAAGGTGAAAAACCAATTCGTCATGAGTTGCAATACAGAGGAACTGTGGGAAAGATCTGGAATTATCCTGGAAGCATCAAAAGTGATGAAAATGGTTCACATAGTCACTGTACCAAAAATAATGATTTTACATTGAAATATTACAGGAAGGTACAAATGATAAAGAACCACTGGTGATGAGGGAAGTTCAAGATGCACTGAAGGCCCCAGGAATCGATGAGATACCAATTGACATGTTTCAACAAAAAAGATGCAGCTCTGGATGTGTTCACCAGTCAGTGCCAGTAAAATTGGAAGACAGCTACATGGCCAACTAACTTGAAGAGACCCATATTTTTCCCATTCCCAAGAAAGGTGATCCAACAGAATTTGGAAATTATCCAACAATATAATTTATATCACATACAAAAAAAATTGCTGAAGATACTCCAAAAATTGCTGGAACATCACATTGATAAAGAACTGC